TTGACGACTTTTATACAGCAGGAATGGACAGAGCAGAACAGTAAATCCAACATAATTTGTGCAACATTAGAAATCTCAATTCCATCTCTGTGGTCTAATGAGCCAGCAAAATGACAAACCTGACAGCTTCTCACAACTTACACAACTCACACACAAGTCACACAAATAATAACACCGTAAGCGGCAAAATCGTTTGAAACTGGTTCCCAGTGGGAGCTGTGAATGTGTTTTCAGGGAGCGGTTATGATATGGCCATGTTTCAAAATTAAAACAAGCTTCACTTTAAAATAACCCAACGCAAACCCTGTGAGTTAACTCTCTACGGACGGCCTCCTCGTTCTTTTTGCTTTCTTCTCGTTTGTCTTCTCTTCTCTCACGCCATTAACAACCCAGCCTTACAGAAAAGTGCCGATCGCCCTTGCTTGGGTTGCTTTGATTAATCTTTCCTGATAAAGAAAACATCCTTTCATATGTGTCAGCAATTTCTAAATCCTTCGCCCATCCAGAGCAGAGCTGAAGATGAACAGACATTTTCACCCAATTAAGGACTCTTTATACGTAACAAGCAATTCCGCCGGGCCTCCGAAGAGCCGGCCAACGCAGCTGGTATCCACAGTCTCATTAAATCAATAGTCATTAAATTGCACTTGAAACCGTATATCGAACCAAAGAGCTCAAACTATTCGATCGTAGCTGGCGTAGGTTTGAACTTGGGTGGTGAGCTGAAATCCATCACTCTGTCATGCTTTGAATTTGGTCTTGTATATAAACCATGATTAAAACTCAAGATGGTGTATTATATTTCCCAGCGGCCCCAATATCTAATATAGACTGGCGGAATGCAATATGAGCCTGCGTGTGTGTGTGCATTTGCATGTGTGCCTGCATACATGCATATCTTCCCATAATTCACACAATATTTGAATGCTCTTTGAAATCTGAGCCATTTCATATGCTTTAACAAGTAAGTCGATAATAAGCCAGGCTCTGAGACCTCCTTGGCTTCTCAACCGCGACAAGTGTGCACAAGGCAAACTCACATCCCTTAAGCCAATTATTGTGTGGATCCGGGAACCATGGCAACCTCCGGGTGGCATTAAATGGGACGTCCATTTACATGCATAACTACAGTGCTTGTTTTAAACATACAGGCATGGAGGCCGCAGCACATAAACAAACAAAACCCGATGGATTTCGATGGAGTTTAAAAACACAAACGGTTGGATTTTGTGAAGATCAAAGCTCTGACACTGTGCCCTCCTCTGTGGTCTAACATGTAACACGTAATTACCAGATCCCCTGCTACTATGCGCATGAAAATAACAAGCTGTTCCTGTTTCCTCCCTGAATGACGCTTTAGACGCAATGGCAAACTGCAACTATTGAAGATTATTCAATCAAGTCCTTATGAAAACAATATCGGTGCACAGCTGGCCAACCGGTTCATTCCGTCAAAGGTTCCTTTCCCTGAGATTGAAACATCCGGAAGCCTGCTGATTCCCATCCGCTGATGGAATCTCTGTGTTTATGTCAGAGCTGTTACCCAGAGGTATAAGGAAAACCTGACAGCTGTAGCAAAGAAGATGCATAAAGCTAGGTCTTACATTCACACTTCAGGTCAGCTCTATTCTCCAGCTACACTCTTAAAAATAAAGGTTCCAAAATGAGTTTTTTGCAGAAATGCCCCTTAAGATGCATTTGATGCTCCCCAAAGAACCTTGGAACAGAACTTTTTTTTAGTGTCAAGTACATTTTAATAATCTGAAAAATCAGGGTTCCTGCAGGTTTTATTAAAGTAAATGTAAGTTTTTATGACCAAGTAAAGAAAAGAAAGGAATAAATTGAATGGAACACTTAAAAGGTTGAAAATACAACTTCCAACAGATCCCCATTACTTTTTAATTAATTTGACAAAATAATAGGAAATAACGTTTACTATACCTCCTGATCACGCTGCAAAAAAAGTGTTCGTCCTCTGTATTTTTGTCTTTTTTTCCAGTGCAAATGTTCATAGATTTTTAAATCAACCAATTACTTGAGAAGCAAAATGTCATAAGTCTTGTTTTATGAGATGCTGATCAAAATTAAGTGAGTTTGTGGATAAAACAAGAACAAAAATCTGCCAGTTGACTCTTGAAGTTGAAATTTGTTCTTGTTTTAAACATACCCTACAGTTAAAATAAATTTTTCAGTATATCTTTAGTTGGACTTCAGCACTGCTTCTACACAATTAAAGTGCATTAGGTACAAAATTAGTTGTTCCAATTTAGCAGACTTTAAGTATACCAGTTCAGTATACTAAAAAGTAGAATTGCAGGGTATTTTTATTAAGTGTATAAATATGTAAATGCTTCTGTAGTATACAAACAATTACATTTAAGTGTATTTATTTTTCACTTTAATTCCATTTCTCAGAAAACAAGACTTCATATGTTCAGTTTGCATCTCAAGTAAATGTATCTTGATTTAAGGCTGTTTAGATATTTGAATTGAAAAACTAAAATGACTTTATGAATTCTGCTCTGATTTAAGACCTTTTAAGGCCTTCATTTGTGAAGAAAAAAAACAATTGTAAAGACCTGCAGAAACCCTGAGAACTTTTTCCACTATAAAGAACATATCGTGCAATAGAAAGGTTCCATGGATGTTAAAGGTTCTTCATGGAACCACTGATGCCAATAAAGAACCTTTATTTTAAAGCGCATAGTCCTGGAAACCTTATCCCACATTTCAATTTTACATTAATATAGAGGGAAAATGAACTGACAAAGCAATCAAAGTCACTCAATGTCATCCAATAAGCAGGTTAACCAGTATACGGCACGTCGGTGAGACGAAGATTAGCATTGCAGGTCAGAAAAACCAGGACAAATGTGACAAGAAACTTGAACGTGACAATTCTGATCAGAAAAAAAACCTAGGACTTGATAATGGCCTAAATTCAGTACAGGAAATAGTAAGAATTCTGCTGGTGTGCAAGTGTGTGCGTGTATATGGATGAGTCTCCTCTTCCTGTAAGGTCTGTAGCTTATGTAGGTCAGCTCCACTGGGTAATGCTCTCTCTAGATGCATGCTTGGGTTCGACGCATCAAATCATCTATAGGGTGCAACGACAATCAGCAACGCCTGTGCACATAACCTTCAGGGGCAAACAAATATCACTTATATCATCTTTTATAAATGCATAATGCATATCAATCACGTTATATGCGGAACGCAGTGAAAATGTACATGCAAAATGGCTGTAATTAATAATTAATATGTAAATGAGTTATTTATGTCATGTTATCTCCACTCTACATTATATACGGACACATCCATGGCTTGTGAAGTCCTTCAAAGTCTTATTTACCCAGAACAGACTTCATTTCATCCAAATCCTTTATTTTAATGATGTCTAATGATTAATTAAATCTGTTGTGCCTTTCCTAGCTTTAATGAGGCAGATGATTATGCGGTCCGCTAACTGAAATGAGCGCATTCAATCACTGTGTGGTTGAGAGTGTCAGAAAAATATACGGATGCATTTTACTTTTGGTAAATTAATACTGACATCTGCTACACGTGTTAGAGCTGTGGGAGTAGAGAGTGCCGAGCAAGGTAAAAAAAAATATATATTTGCCATCTGTTTATGGCCAAAATATTTTGCCGAATACGCATAAGATACAGTAAGACCTCACAGGAAGATATATAAGAATATATACATATACATTCACACACACAAATTATTTACATATAAAACAAATAATACATAAAATTTTATATATATATATATATATATATATATATATATATATATATATATAATACATACATGATATATGCAAAATAACTTAAAAATGGCCCCAAAAACAGTAAATAAAAGCATGAAATAAATAAATGTACATATGTTATTGTATTATAAATATTAAACATATCTATATAAAATATATTATTTATATATATATTGAAAATTACAGAACTGGCAGAGTTACTATATGAAAACTAGATTTGCTCCTATGCAAAATAACTTAAATAGCTTAAAAATTACCCCGAGAACAGAAAAGAGACCTTGTATATTCACTTAAGGTTCAAATAAGTTAAAGTGAGCCACTTCGGGAGCCCTATAGAGGCACAAATTGCTGAGGCCCAGCATTATAACACTGCATAATTATGGGAACCGCTGGAGGTGACGTCTGTTGTGTCACTAGCAACAATAGAGGAAGCCCATTTTGGCTTATGTTAGCCTTTAGCACATAGTACAACTTTTGCACCTGCAGCATCAGCTCCCTGCCTGATAATTGGATCATATCATACACCTTAATAAATATGATACTCTCGCAGGAATTATGCAGAGGAAAAGCATTTTAAATTATTTGGTATTGCTTATTTTCAGTATAATCAAGACTTCAGAGGTGTTCATAACACTGTGGCCTAACCAGGCGGGACGCAATGCGACAAGTTTCTAACAAATCACAGCCAGTCAGAACAAGGCAATATTGATACAATGACTTGATTAAAATGTTGTTCTGTAGATAATTACAGTTGTCTAGAGTCTATTTTTGTTCCATTGATAGTTTAGCATTCAAAACACCCAATAGTGATATCACTGTAATGTGTGCATACAAAATTCCAATTGGCATCCTTTTTAATATCTATTTGTGTACTGAATAGTGACTGGATTTGGCTTTCCTGCATATATTTAACCATTTATATCCTGCAAATTTACATTGCACTGCAACCTTGTGTTAATTCTTATGTGCAGCAGATAAAACAATTTTGGACCAATAAAATGTCACTGTGGGCGGGGCAACCCAGCAACTAAATATTCTGTTGCTAATTACAAATGTGACTGGCTATGACAGAAATTCAGAATCTCAGATTTTATGAACAAGATTTATTTTATTACTCGTCCCTTTTTACTTTGTATGTACATCTATGTACATGTCTGGAATTCATAAAATATTATGTTATAAGGTTGTTCTTACAAACATCAAAGAAGGTGAGTTTATCCAACTTACCAATATCAGCGTCTTTGTGATTCTTTATGAATTCTGCAAGCTCAAAATTTCCAGCAATTATTGCAACCTTTAAAAAAAACAAACATATATAGCATATTAGATTCATTCACTGACTTTCTCACAAAGTCACAAAAACACATTTTTTTATTTATTGTTATTTTTTGGGTTAAGCCCGCATAAAAAAAAATAAATAATAAAAAATAATAATAAATAATAATAATAATTACTGGTAAACAAGGACAGAACAAGTCAGCAAACCTGCAGTCAGCCCTACTGAATCCAAAATAATACCACCATTGCATAGATGCAAATTTTATTGTTTTATCTGTTTAACTTTTTAAACAATTTAAAAGTATCATATACATTACCATTCAAAATTTGGAGTCAGTAAGACTTTTAAAAATGTTTCTGAAATAAGTGTCTTATGCTCACCCAGGTGCATTTATCTGAAAATAAAAAAATACTGCAATATTGTTAAATATTTTAACATTTAAAATAACTCTTTTCTATTTTAAATTATTAAAAAATGTAATTTATTCCTGTGATGCAATGTTGAATTTTCAGCAGCCTCTACTCCACATCTCTACTCCACAGTCTTTAATATCACACAATCCTTCAGAAATCATTATAATATGCTGATTTGCTGCTCAAAAAAACATTATCAATCTTGAAAACAATTGTGCTGCTTTTGTGTCAAAACCATGATCACCCCCCCCCCCCCCCTACCAAACACTTCAGACTATTAAACTGTTG